TCTTCAATGCAAAAGAATAATCTGGCCTATATCCTACAACTAGCTTCGCGCATTTTTAGAGCATTACTTATAGAGCGAGATGTCAGCATGTTATTTACAATCTCGGCATCATCGCATATCTTCAGAGAAATTAATTTATCAAGAGAAGCCCTCGCTCAATATTGTCTAGGCGCATTTCTAGTCGTCATGGCGGAACACTAAAACTAAATACGTTGTGTGTTCGACACTATCTCAGCATCAGTTCATTTGTCTTGCGTGGTCATAACTCAGATCCTCGGACATCGCGTCGCACGAACTCACATTTTATTCGACTGTCTTGATCTATGCACATGCAGTGGGTTGAATCTACAGGATAATTTATGAGCGAAATAGCGGCGGCCCGCCGCTGGTGAGCAAGTTTACATTTATATTTATATAAAAAGTTAAAATTATTTTTAGTTTTTGAATGTTATGATCCTAAAAATTTGTTATTTTTTGCTTATTGTTCGAAAATGTTCGTTATCATTTCCTATTATCTCTTTTCACGGCAATGCAAAGCTTACCAATTTCAGCGAACTTAATTTACTTCGTTGGAAGTCTTAGAAATTAAAAGTATTGGATGAATAATAATAAGTTATTAAAGAAAGTAAAGAAATACACAGTGAATAGAGCAATTTTATCTACAAGTATAAGAAATCAAATAATGCTATAAATTGTGAATTTATAATCATTTCAAAGATGACGGAGAGCAACCGTCAAGCTAGGCCGTCCTGAGGTCAGAGTTCGCTAGTGTATAATTGGGTGACATGTAAGAAAGCACTATCGCCGCAGCGCTCGTGTAGTCCTACACATCTCAGATAACATTCGTTGTAAGGGCACGTGGGTATCATATGTCTGCTTTCCTGTGTAACCTGAAACATACGAAATAGTGTATTGTGTAGTCTTTAGTACAAAAATAATACAGTGTACAAATGTAGGCGTTGGCAAGAGCATTTCTTTATTCGGCTTTTATAATGAAAATCAAAATTAAAAAGAAGAAATGGTGATCGAAACAAAATTTAACTCAGGGCTTAGCCCTTTTCTTGCGTCTCAATTTTCATCAAAGTCGACCTTGGCGCCAATGGTTTCTCGGCCACGACTTTGAAGTAAGCATTTTATAAAACCTTCATGTAGGGATTATTGGAGGTGACCTTGATACGCTGCTCTGATGAGCCTTATTCTTTCATGAGGGTGTGATGGGGGTTTGATGGGGGTTTGATGGGGCGTTTGATGAGGGTTTTATATGGGATGTTTTATTGAAGGTTTGATGGCGAGGATTTGATGAGCACTTCCCTTAAGGAGATGCGAGCTACGAGCCAAACATGGAGAGAGAGTAAAATGAAACTGATGAATTAACATTCTTTGAGTTTTCGATAAATGATGTGGATTTCTTTGCGATAACTTGTGTCGTGTGATGTTGCTACCTTGCGAGGCTTGTATCCTACTGCACCTTCTCCCTGTGGTGACAACAAATATATGGTGTCGAATTAAATTACTGAAATATTCAGTGATTACTTGCATGAGCTTCAAATTGTAGTTTCATTATTGATTAATTTTTTGAGACAGTGATATATATTTATATATTTACAAAATAAATTTAACTGGGATTACCAATAATTAATTAGGTTAATTAACTTACCATTCGTGCAGGATAATTTGTCTATTTGCTTCAAAAATTCATAGCAGAATTATAAGCAATTTTTTCTTATTTGTTGAGTTTTAAATACCTTCTCTTAAATGAACTGACTCAGAGCCCGACACAGTTTTTCTGCGTTAAGGACAAAGTAAACAGAATTAATTTTTATGATTTGTATAACAAATGACAGGACAAAGGAAGTTGTTATACGCGAAGAACAAAATGAAGTGCGTACAGTTTTCTGGCTCCGGGACGGGAGGCGTAATCTGTCTGCCAGTTTGTCGCCAGGCTGTCGATAGCAGCGAGTGCAGTGCTTAATATTGAGGCCGTGTAAAAACACGATTGGTTGGTTTGCAGTCACTGCAGCTTAAAAAACTGCTTCGCTTGTGTTCCCATGCAGTGCGTGGATCCTGACTAGATGGATTATTTGTTTAAATTTTAATTAGTTTTAGTTAAAGAAGATTTATAAAATAGTTTAAAGATAATTCAACGGTGAATAATTACTAGTTTATAATCATCATTAATTTAGTTTCTTCGTTGCATGGCGATATTTGATTTATTACGTGGAGTTTATTCTAAAATATTTCGCAACATTTGCCCGAATATTTTGAAAGTATCATTAAGGTTATTTCACGTCAGTTGCCAGTAATTGAGGAAATCTAGATAGCAATAACTGAAATCGAGACTTAAAGAATCCAAATTAAATGAGAACGGATGGGCCTTTTGAGTTTAAATCTGATAATTTAAGCTAACACTTTACGTTTGCAGAAAAAATTGCATGAATATTACTGTGCCGCGTATACCACCACCACACGTGTATAGCATCTTCTGAAGCCGGTTCAGAAGCAGGTTCTGATGAAGGTTCAGAGTCGGGCTCTGAAAAAGGTTCAGTGGCAGGTTCTGAGGCAGTTTCTGAATCAGGTAATAGCGCCTTTATCAGTATATCCCAATTACCCTGCAATGCTTGAAATAAATCAACCTTCATGCCTTCATATATTCTAATCCAAAAATCTTGGCTAATCATTATCGCTCAATGCTGTGCTACAAATTAGTAATGAAAATTGCTAATTTTCCCCAAAAATTATTTGTATTTCTAGTCATTGTGTATGCGGTCTTCTAAGTTGCGCAGGGTTTATTAACGAAAATACATCTCACTTGTTTGAGCACTTGCTACAGCGGTACTGTGTTCATCGATATTTTTGGGGTAACTCGTCAAATTTTAACTAATAATCGTTGTGTGAACAGATGAGGCAACATAATTTTTTTTCTGCATCATTTTTTCTTATTCATTGAGTTTTATAAAATAGTTATTCCTTATTAATTAGTTATAGCATTCAATTTCCCATGATCGACACCAGTGCAGGAAAATTAAATTTTAGCTAAAGGTAACAACAAATTCCTTGGCATCTTAAAGTATCAGTATGTCAGTGCGGTACGTTGCAATCGACCTCGGAGCATCAAAAGCATTCACTAAAATACAGACCCGAGCCTTTAATTAGTGGAACATGCCAAGTCATGTCACTGACTTTTACTTTGATAAGAACATGTCATCATGCCTAACTTTTCTATGCCGTGTGACGGAGAAGTTAATTTCTTGCCAATGACAAGCACAGCAAAGTATTCAAGGAATAAATATATAATATTAAATATTTAGTAAATATTGACTGTGAAGTTATAGTCAATATTTGCAGTTTTGTTATTACAATTTTAGAAAATATTTTCGTTTGAAGAAGTTACATTTAGACCGCTTTTCTTTCATGAAACTTGTAGCTACGTAAATCAACGAGCGCTATTGTATTGACTTAGACCCCCACGGACAAATTGCTTATTTTACTGACTACCGCATGTTTTTACTAGCGCTATATCCGTGCAATTCTCACGGAACTTATCCATTCCATATTCACGCATTACTTGCTGTAGGTTTTGGCATCAACGCTCTCAGCTAGCGCATACTGCTGACCTTGTGCATTTATTACGGCTGCAGTTCTCATATAATGACAACTTCTTCGTCAATATTTCCCCTTCGATATTATCAGCAATTTTCCGGCGTCCTATATATGAGAGAATCAATGCGAGTCTTTGTTGATTCAGCCCAGTTTTAATGTTGTTGTGATGCACGCAACCTGAGCTTAATTGGACTGAAGAAGACCCCCAAATAAAGCCATTATTTTGTAATCGATATTTCGGTTGTTTAGGCAAGATGATCCTAAAAGTTATTACTGCTTGAATTATTTTTGAAAACATTTCACCACGGTGTTGGGGTCATCGACACACCAACTCAGCCTACATGATCGTATAGGGTCATTTTCACTGATAATCTTTAATTAAAATCACTTTATTGCATGCACAATCCGTTTCAGTATATACAATCCACTGTAATATACACATTCACGTGCTGGCAAACTGAGAAGATGAGTAAGTCTGAAGTTTGAGTCTCTGGTTTGAGGCTCTCCTAAAAGAGTAAAATGAACAATAATTAAACTTCTAACTAGTAAATAAAGTAATGAATATACAAATCAAATAATGGAACACAAATATAATATATACATTGATTCTAATAAATTCACATATCGCAATTCAATAATACACATCAGGACCTAACACACTACGTACCTCCACTCAGGCTTCACACCGCACAGTAATCTAGCAGCAACTTACACCTTCCGCATTCCGACTTTCGTAAAGTCTAAACTAAAATGACATTGAGCAACTTCACAATAATTGACGAATCCCAAGTAAAACAACACGCAAGATAATAAAATACAAGCTTATACCTCAACAACGGTGAGGTGTTTTGCAGTAAACAGCACATGAAAAAACGACACATTTGCTTCCACAAATATTTGAGTGTCTCATTTGTTGAATTTAATAATAAAAACTTGGCCTTTATTGCGGAGCGATTTCTGTATTAATTAAGGCGAATTTAATTTTCGGTTATGGAAATAATACTAGAAATAAAAAAAATCAGCGAATTAATTTACGCGTTGCTAAATCACTTCCGGCAACAGCGCTGGAATTCAAACAGTTTCATAATTAATTAAGACTCAATTATATAATATAAATTTAATAATATAAATTTCATCAGACAAATGTACCATCGCAGTACTTTAATTAAAAACGTAATCTGAACAGCCGAGTCATTTGATCCGACTAAATCGCAGACAGCGGGGCATTCTCCCTATTAACCTTGCCTAATTAGACATTGATTTGGTATAAATTCAATAAATTGTACAATAAATATAATTCAAATTGATTCTTTGTTTTCGTATTAGTCCGGCAGAAAGTCAGGGAATTATAATAATACTAAATCTTGTCTAATGAATGTCGTGTAATTGTATCACTGCAGACGGGAGCGCAGGCAGCGAGACGGTGGAGCAGCGTCTGCGGCTACACCTGCTACACACCTACGACCGCTCCAGCCTGCCTCCTAACATCACGAGCGTGGCTGTGCGCTTCACTGTCATGCACGTCAATATGGTGAGTCCATGTTAACATGGATACCAAGTTAAAAATTATATGCGTTTAAAATTACTTTTTACAGACAACATTTCTAAAGGGGCCAGTGACTCCGATGTTACACATGTACAATGAATTTCTTATATTATTTTCAATTATTTAACAAAAATTTCCTAAAATTTTTTTGATATGAAAGAAACTTATTTTGTTTAAATTATTTATTCTGTCAGTTGATTCAAGCATTGTCTCCGACTTTACGCAAGTGTGCAAAATTTCAGATCAACTGGACTGGTAGAAGTGTGTTAAATATCGATTATAACATTTTTAGCTGACAAACATACAACAACAAGAAGTGAAGTTAAAGAGAGGTGTCGTAATAAGCTCTAACATTGGTGCCAATTAAAGCCATCGTCGTTTTAACATATCCGTTCACTGATGTCATATCGCACTACCAGCACGTGCTGTTGCTGTACCGCCATACGGCCAGCCGCTGACATATCCCGAACAAAATTCAGAGACGTGGCAGCTTCTGATTCGAGGAATCAGAAGCTGATGCGGGTCAAAATCCTGATTGGGATACAGGTGCTCCACAGCTGGCCAGCAAACGGCCGTGGCCGGTGCCATCGTGGCTCTGAACGCCGGCTGTAGAGAGGCACGCTATTTAGGACAGACAGCACCACAAGGATTCTGCACCGATGCTGCTCACTTCCAATGTAGTCGCGACACAACCCAGCTAAAGGGGTCAATTAAACGTTAACGCACGGCCCTAATAACAACGACAAATTGGTTGTTCCATCATTACAGCAGCTTGAAATTTATTTTTGGTTGGTTGTTCTTTCATTACCGCAGCTTAAAATTTATTTTTGGTTGTTCCGTCATTACCGCAGCTTAAAATTTATTCTTGTTGTTCCTTCATTACCGCAGCTTAAAATTTATTTTTCGTGCGGTCGTAAGGATTGTCGCGCCGCCAATATTTAGCTGAGCAATGCTCGCCACGAACGTCATGAGCGTCACCGAGCGCTTCACTGGCATCATTCATATCAACATGACGAATATTTGGCTAAATGATGAGTGCACGGCAACTTGGCGAATGTGAAGCAGAAATGTGAGTGCACAGGATCAGTGATTTTAATACGGATGAACACGTTATCAATCGTACGACCTGATATGAGACGAATGCATACTTTTTTTATTTAATATGAACGCTTATGATCTCCACTTCACTAATGATAATACGAAAAAATTGTAATTTCCATGTCGAAACTAATTGTTTCATTCCCTTCATCCTCATTACAGTCATTAATTCGGATACAGCGAAAAATATTTTAGCCTTTCAAGTCTTTCAAAACAACGGGCTACCTAACATGAAAGAGCTCTCCGCTTGCCCATGTATTTAAGAGAATCTAAACAAATACTTTGCAACGGTGGATCAAAAATCCACTTCATTTCCAAATCCAAAAAACTGGCTCTCTTCCTAACGCAAAACATCAGCGCAAAACACTCATCCTGACGTCAATCCCGCATAATTGAAATCATTCGCTGATTTCCTGCGGCAAACATTTTCAGAGCAAACAATAGCCCTTGTTTTTTTCCAGAGCCACCCAATGCAGCGGAACGAATTGGCAACAAAATATTTACTTTTATTTTTATTATCTCTTATCATGAGTAACTTTCGTTCGTCAATTTTTCGCGGGTATTAAAACTTCACGAAGATGATTTAATGAACTAATGCAGTAGATCAGGAAATCGTTTTCTATCGAAATTCATAAGGTGTATGAGACGTCTCACTACCAAACGCCATATTCAAATGGATGAAAAATTCAATATATGAATAAAATTATGATTTATGTTCACAGGTGGAAGCGGAGGAAGTGATGGAGCTCGACGCTTGGATTATGATGGTGAGTGATGGATGCATGTTTGGTTTATATTAATTAAGGGGAGCGTCTGGGGTAAAATTTTGAATTTTGGCTTTTCCGGTTTTTAGTCTCATCTTAAAGCTGACATTCTGTTCTATCCAACGGTACCAAAATCATCTCTGTACGTTGATTTATGCGTTCACGACCACTTGCGAAAGGGGGGGGGGGTCGGGGGAGTTCTTTCACATTTTAGGTGGGCGATAATTCCCGGTAGCATGCATAAATAGCTAGCCCACATACGATATGCTTCAGTAACCCGCCTGCAGTTGTACGGGAGGGGTTACGTGTCGTCGCTCCCATCATCCTTGACTGGAATCAAGCTGCAGTAACGTTTAGTTTTGTATCCTTGCTACATTGAGTGTCTATTCCGATGTCCGCGGGACTTTGTCGCGCTCTCCTGAACATTCACACTTATTGTCACTGCAAACCTATCTACTCCTAGAGTTTTGAAGTTACAGCAATGAGACATATACCATTCGATTTGCAAAGAAAAGATCTACGAACTGATGGTGGGCTTTTTCCAAGTTCGTTATAGTTCGGATTTTATTCTGTAAAAAAGGGGGGGGGAAATGGAGGTAATATCGAAAATTTCGAAAAATTTCGGACAAAATGCTCCCACACCCCCAAAATTGAGAAATTCGAAAAACCCCACCATCGTTTGTAGATATGGTCTTTACGCATCGAATGATATGTGTTTCGATGTTGTAGCTTGAAAATCCTAGGAGGAGACAGGTTTTCTAAGGTACCCCTTTTTTGCCGTTTTCTAAGAATTTCACGTTTTCTTTCAATTTTTTCGAAAAATTGACACGAATAAAACCTGCGTTATTTTAGGGTTTACACATGTGTACCAAATTTCAAATCGATCCGTCTGTAAATAACCGAGATAAAATTTACCCCAGACGCTCCCCAGAAATACTTGAATGAAGCTACTATTCGAAACAAATCGTGTAAATTATATCCGAGCTTTAAAATTTATTATGTTAAATTTTGGTTTTTATTTTTAGTTCAGCTTCACTGCAAAACTTGAACGAATGAATTGTTTGAATTTAATTATATAAATTAATTACAAGATTTTCGAGTGTATAAGGCCAAATATCGGTTCAGAATTCATTTAAATGAACTGTACTTTTCTAACCCAATTGTCTAAAATATATACGAGTTTCTTTACTTCTATAAGGTTTTCATGTGAAATTGTCGTCGGCTGAAAAAATAACATTTTCAATTTAAAAAAAATATTATTCCTTTATATTCGGTGGGTTTTTGTTCGATGATTATCTAATTCTGCTTTTAGATGAATCATAATCAAACGTATGAACGTTTTTTTTATTCATGAGTATGAACGTTTCAAAAATTTGAGGTTGAAGTTAAAAACCAGGTTAGATTTTATTCGACCGAATATTAAACACGAAAAGCCACGAACTGACAAAATTTTTGACCTAGGTAATAATTCCTGGCAGCCTAAATACAATTTCATTTAGGCTACATATTGAATTAGAATAAACTAAATGTCTTGACGCTTAACATGTTTGTTTTTCTTGTTATCAGAGTTGGATGGACTCGCGCCTAACGTGGAGCGAGATCACGGCCTCTCACGTCCAAAAATTGGCTTTCGAACCTGAGAAAGTTTGGCATCCTGACATCGTCCTCTTCAACAAGTACGTAGCCAACATCAACACCGACGATAGAATTTTAAGTGCTGCAAAAAAGAAATAATTTACACAAATCTCACTCAATCTGTATGAATGACATTGATCATCTTGATGTCCGAATTTTTTAATTCTCTTTACATCTGAACAATTATTATCTCACCAGCTTAATTAGATTAATTTGTTTCTAACCGGCTGGCTAATTTTAGCACCTGAATTATCTGACAAAATAATTTTCGCAATGCAATTTGAATTTACTTCTCTATCTAATTATAGATTTTTCAACTTTCAGATTCTCTATCATGTTTTCCATATTACACAGTTGTGGAAATGGGCTAGGAAGCTCCATGCATTAGCAAATTTTTTTCTACTAAGATCGTAGAATTAATCGTACTATTTTTTGATCCAAAAAAATTGTACGACCGTTTACCTCTGACCCAAAAAAGTCCTTTTTCCACCAAAAAATTGAAATGCATTTTTTTTTTCTTTCCAAAGCGCGGAGCCATGGAAGACGGGCACTCGACCCAACACGCTCCTACTAGCATACCCCAGCGGCGAGATATTATACGTGTACCCCACACGGCTGCGTGTGCCCTGCGTAGCTGACCTCACGTACTGGCCTTACGACATCCACAACTGCTCGGCAAAGTACGGCTCATGGGTGCACGACGGCTACGCCTTCGACCTCGAACTCCACGACGACACTCCAGAGGTGGAGGTGCTTGGACGAACTGTTGATGTTCCAGAGTGGGTTTTTCTCTTTGAGGTTTTGGCATCCAGAGTGGTGGTGGAGGTGGGGTTTTTCTTGATTCATCATTAAGGTTTTGGCATGATTTAAACTTTTGAACTGTTGATGTTCCAGAGTGGGGTTTTCTTTGAGGTTTTGACATCCAGAGTGGTGGTGGAGGTGGGGTTTTTCTTGATTCATCATTAAGGTTTTGGCATGAATTAAACTCTTGAACGTTAGTGACATCCTAATTGAACTGAAACTACTGTGACTTTCTGACATTTGTTGTTGTGCACTACTTACTTTGCAGATCGGTTTCGGTTTCTGGTTGATGTCGAAGAACTTTTTCAATCAACGGTAAAGCCGATTAACCTCAGCCAATTTCTTAAGAGACAACTACATTTTTCAGTTGTTTTGTAGTATCTAAACTGATTTTAGTATAGTCCACTAAGACTTCCGAAAAAATTTAAAGTTCTCTAGCTGGTGCAGGGAAAAATCTTAACCATCTGGCCTCGTCGTATCTACTATGCTAAAATCGACCCTCGAATCGCTTTATGCTTTGTAAACTTGTTGGTGTTGGCAATACAGTGTTATTCAGTCGCATGCTTTGACAACTGGTGAATTTAAACGCTTCAAGGTGGCGCCTCTATATAATGTCATCTATTCTACTGTCATCGCTGTTTTGGTCTTTCAGCAAATTCGTTGAACTTTGAATACTGTGAATAATTTCCGGGCCCAATTAATTTTTTTAAAGATATTAAATAATTAAATATTTTTAACTTGGCCAAAGAATTTTTCCAGTAGTGTTAACGTCTGAGAAATTCTATCCGAGTTTTTATTTTATAATGTTTTAAATAAAATGCATGCAAGTATTCCTAAACTTTTTGCTTCATTCCAGATTTTTCTGCTACTTTACCTCATTGAATTAATTTATGAGAAAGTGTATTAATTTACAGTTCCCCATTCTAGAAAAAAATGATTTTTCAAATTTTAATCTCAACTGAACTAATCAAACTTCTACCTATTTTCTTATCAACTCCCTAGCTCGTTCCGTGCTAAAATATACACCCACATCTCACTTTCCTGCACAACACATAGTTTCGAAAAACTATATTTAAAAAATCCCTTGACCGTCCCAAATTTCAGTGCCCTCACGAGTCCAATTTCTTTCTATGCACCTGACGCCAAATTCCCCCTCAACTGTCCCTAATTTCAATGCCCTCACGAGTCCAATTTCTTTTCTTACACATCAACCTGACGCCAAATTCCACCCGACAGTCCCTAACTTTAATGTCCTCACGAGTTTAATTTCTATCCTTGCACACTTACCTGACGCTAAATTCCCGCCGACCGTCCCTAATTTCAAGTCCCTCACGAATCCAATTTCCCCTCACTCCAAATTCCCCCTCGACTGTCCCGAATTTCAATGTTCTCATCAGTCCAATTTCTGCCCCCGCAGATCGACCTGGTGAAGTCGTTCCAAGAAGAGCGCAACCTGACCCGAGGGCAGTGGACGGTGCTGGGCTCCAGTCTGCAGAAGTCGACGATGTTCTACTCGTGCTGCGTCGAGCCTTACCCTCACATCACCCTACGCATGCTAGTACAACGCAACGCACCTGCGTTCGCATACACTCTGCAGATGCCCGCCATAGGTAAGTGATATGGCAGTGTGATTTAGGTTAGAGTGTGAATGACCTAAAATTAGGGATGAAAAGTGATTATAATTCAGGTTAGAGTGTGGAGCATTAAAGATTAAAGGTGATTAATGATTATTGTTTAGGTTAAAGTGTGGAGAACTGAAGATTAGGAGCACATCGACAGAATCGGCACATCAGGCCTATTCTTCAGCGCCGACATCACTACGATACGATTTGATATGATTTTGCTTTGAGTATTTGACAGTGAATGTTAAAAGTGATAAGTGATTATAATTTTGGTTAGATTTTGAGACGTTGATGTTTGACGATTATCGCAGCGCTGAGTCTGGTGACGGGGGTGGTGTTTGTCCTCCCCCCGGGGGCGCTGGAGAAGGCGCTGCTGGGGGGCCTGTGCCTCCTGCTGCAGCTACACTTCCTGGCCTACACTGCCGCCTTCATCCCCCACTCCCCATCACACACCCCTATCCTGGGTGAGTCACCCGATGCCACCTACATCCTCCCACTCCCCCTCATACAACCCCATCCTGGGTGAGTCACCCGACGATGACCTACAACCCCCACCCCCCTCATACAACCCCATCCTGGGTGAGTCCCCCTACCCCATCATGTGCTCCCTCACCTGTCCTTCTTTCACTCAAACCCCATAGTGTGTAGTTGTGCTTCAAACTCTAAAATCGAATAAAAAGTTAAATGTACACGTCACTTTATCCCCTTTCTGTTGATCCAAAACTCCGCAAAAAAAATCTAATTAGCGGCTGAATACAGTAGGTGGCCGATACACGCATGATTCGCCCCCTGAGGCGAGTATGGCGATCGAGGCTCTCCAGCTCCTAAATGGTATCCAGAAAAGATAGGACTTGGGCAGACTACTTGTTGTAAAAATTGTTTTCGATTTTCAATTGTTTTTGGTTTGGAAAATTTACAGCGTTTGACAAAGTCATGAATGAAATTTAGAAAAATGGGGGTCTTTTTAGAAATTTTTATTCATATGTCGCGGGAAAACTTTTTATCAAAAAAATCATATGTCGCTGGAAAACTTTTTACCTTAAATCAAATTCTTTAATTCGTCTGCATGAAAGAGGTTATGACAACCTAAGATGTAGACTTTCGGAGTTTGTATTGACTTTCAGACTTTACAATTTTTTGGAGTTCTTCCTTGGTGCATTACATTGCAAATGCTTTCTGTGCAATTAAGGGCACTAATTCAAAAGAATCATTAAGGATATTTTTTCGTAAAGTTAAGGATTCCTCAATTTGCAAACACCAACAAGAAAGTTACAGTTTTTATGAATTTTCAAACGTCTTACAAGTTTCTCCCCTAAACCGACGTCTCCACGCGAAGAAAATAAATTTCCAAATTTTATACATTGAAATGCTAAAAGAAATTTATGACTTTTTTGTCCTGTTTTTTGCAGTTCGTTTCGTGAGCGAGCAGCTCGTGCTGACTGCCGTGGTGGTGGTGATGACGGCGGTGGTGATCAGGCTGGTGCGGGACCCCCACCCACAAGGCCTGCCCCACGCGGGACAGCGGGTGCTCGCTGTGCTCGCCGCCTGCTTCTGCCTCGGCAACTACAGGCGCATGGTGAGTATACGTCGTCTGTGTGGCATGCGTAGATGTTGAATGTCATGCGAATGCCGTTTCTTTCCTTAAGACAGTGGCATTTTTCGTCTGTCTTTTGACAATCGTCTTTGCAATCTGTTGTTGGTATGATAGTTTGGTGTGCCGTTCTTTCCTTAATGCCGTTCTTTCCTTAAGACAGAGGCATTTTTCGTCTGTCTTTTAACTATCGTATTTGTAATCTGTTGTTGGTATGAAAGTTTGGTGTCGTTTGGCTCGCATTGTTGCCTGTTGTATGACTGCCGTAATTATCGTCTGCCTGGAATAATTATTAAAAAGAATTCTTCTGGCCCCTTAAGAAGCCTATTCTCCTATCGCGAATCAAAGTACGATAAAATTGCCGGCGAATATTCAAAGAGATAAATTCCAGCGAAAAAGCAAATTTTACGAGTCGGCTACGCGAAAGATATGTGGTTAGGTATCAAAGTATTTATATACTTTGATATATGATATACGTAGTTATAGTACCATAGTATATCACATAGTATGTTCAATGCTGCGTGATATCAAAGTGTAATCGTTCTAATTAATAAATAAATTTAACCATCTCCCCTCTGTTCCCCTCAATGCAGGCCTCCAAGTCAGAACTTTCGCCGTACCCCCACGGGCTGAAGGGGGAGGACCTCGAGCTCGGGGAGGGTCGAGACTTTATAGGACGCAGCTACCCCAACGGTGGGCGAACTATATAAGTTGAAGATAACGTAATAAATAATTAAATTTAGAAAAGAAATTTCATGTTTCGTAAAATTGTTTATAGCTAGTAGATGGTGCTGAAAATTTCTATATTTATATTAGTATAGCGGGTAAAGACAATGAGTTTACAAATTAAATGAAGCTCTTTAAACGAATATTCGGGACGGCGCTTACTACCGTCACTTTTTCAGCCCAAAGATCAGAAAAATCATGATTCATTTGTTGGAAATACTCGTCTTTGGTTTCTTTCAACCCATGGCGTCAGTTTCTTTTCAGATTTCATGGCGTCAGCTATGTTGTTTTTGTAAATATTTCAACATTTCATTAACTGCACAATATATTATGTATGCGATCTCAATGAATTCTTTCATAATATATAAATTATGTCGATTGATAAATGAATGCATGAATGCATATATGATTCTGTTTCACGTTTCGCACATGTTGTGTTTCATGTTCCGCACATGTCGTGTTTCATGTTCCGCACATGTTGTGTTTCATGTTCCGCACATATGTGTTGTTTCATGTTTCTTCATCTTCTGCACATGTTACTTCATGTTCCGCACATGTTTGATCCATGTTTCAGGCACAATTGCGAGCTCGCCGTCCTCCGGCAACAACAACACAAACGAGTCACGTAGGGCGCCCCTGGACTACCTCCTGCTAGGGGCGGTGGTGGACAGGGTGTGTCTGCTGCTCTACGTTCTGGTGCTGGCCAGTTTCTTCATCTCATTTAAAGCGGTGCTTTTCTGGTGATACCGAATGTCCTGGAAATCTCATTCAAAATTTTCATTTCTGTTCTTATGTTTGAATTTAATGATGAAGTTATCATTTCTGCATGTGTTAAATTCGCTGGATAAAAGTCACTTAACTTTCGTACATCGAGTAAGGTGCCTCTCGAATAACTTTTATTTTATGCAAATACGTCACATATGTTGAAGTTTGTTATTAGTGCAAATTTTGTTCTTTTAAAAATATCAATGCATCTGAATGTTGAAAAAATTCTCGTTGTGAATTCAGAAAGAAGTTTCATTGAATTTCGAAAGTTTTCCAGCCAATATAAGTTTTCGTATATAGCCATTAACAAAAAATGTTATATTATGGTGCCTAGAATTATCATCATCTTTCGGTGCAGGTAATAGGATTTTCTCGTGCTCATTAAAAAAGATACATAGATGTTGCTTAGAATTACCTTTACTCGATGCAGCAAATAAGATTTTTTCGAATGCATTAAGAAAATTGAAGAAGATGGTGCATAGAAATATTGAAGTGCTGCTCTATTCTAGAAATAACGCGAGTCTGGATAATGAGAAAGAGTAAATCAAACTGCATTAATACTAAAAATTACATCGCCCGTGTTATTTTGCGCCCGTGTGTTCACTGAGTGTGCAGTGGGGACCAAAGGTTGGAATGATTTGTTGGTCGCCACAGCTTAGTAAATTCTGAAAGGCGCGTTTTTTTAACGGAAAATTTTAACAATCATTTCATATGTTTCGACTTTCACTTTGCTATTCTTTGAAATTCTAACGTAATATTTTGCCCTTGGGACATGATTAGTTTCATTCTTTTTCAGCGAAGAGATAATAAATACCCATTACATTTCTAAGGGATTATTTTTCAATATAAATATACCTCGTATATTTTTTACGAGTAACATTCAGGCTAAATTCATTTTCAGTCAATAGCGTTAATCAAAATGGTCATTAGACCCTATCAGTCATGAGGATTAAATTCGGAGGAGAACGTTTTTCATTGTTATATTATACGCTCCGAAGGCCATAAATTCAGTACAAATACGCTGACTGGTCAGCAAGTCAGTGATAATTAGCTGAATTTTTTTATAGTAACTGTTTAGATTTTACAATAATATTCTGGTGCCAATTTTATAAGAATAAAGGATAGTTCGCTTGCTGGTTTCGGTCGCGATGTCAACTTCATAAAAAAACTACGAGCACATTCATAAACTATGAGCACGTTCATAAACTATGAGCACATTCATAAACTATGAGCACATTCATAAACTATGAGCACATTCATAAACTATGAGCACATTCATAAACTATGAGCACATTCATAAATATTTTATCACTTAAAGGCGTCTGCGGATATCGAGGTTATCAAAGCTGAATTTTTTATTGCATCGTCATTCATAAACTATGAGCACATTCATAAACTATGAGCACATTCATAAACTATGAGCACATTCATAAACTATGAGCACATTCATAAACTATGAGCTCATTCATAAATATTTTATCACTTAAAGGCGTCTGCGGATATCGAGGTTATCAAAGCTGAATTTTTTATTGCATCGGCCTTTATTTCCTCACTTTTTCTTAATCGCAACGACGAAATCGAGATGACCGAAATGCATGTACCAGTTTTTCATGCAAGATATTTTTTAGTTATTTCACGTGTTCTCGAGCTGAAAGACTTTTTCAATTTCTTTTTACTTCGAAGCAAGAACGAATTGACTTATCTTATCGTGGTGTCAAAATATTTTGCTAATCTCACCATTTATCATTAATCTTAACCATTAACATAACAGAATAACAATAAATGTATGCGCATTTCCTTATGACATCATGCAACATACGGCAAAAAAAAATAGATTTTTGTGAGGGCGACGCACAATTTTGCGTCTTCTATTTTATTTTTGTTTTTTTTTTATACTCGCCCAACTTCATACCACGCGGTAACTGTGTACCGGTAACTGTGTAGCGAGTACTGTGAACCGATAACTATGTACCGATAATTGTGTACCGGTAACTATGTACCGGTAACAGTGTACCGGTAACTGTGTACCGGTAACAGTGTACCGGTAACTGTGTACCGGTAACTGTGTACCGGTAACTGTGTACCGATAACTGTGTACCGGTAACTTTGTACCGGTAACTGTGTACCGATAACTGTGTACCGACAACTGTGTACCGGTAATTGTACACCGTTACACACCAAGCACAATAACTGGTATTGTGTTCGACGCTGAGCCTGTATCGCTCTCCTCCGGCCACCGATTTAACGCGCCTGTATATATACATTGTAGGACGCTGTATGATAATCTTCTTCACGATTGGTGATATGTATATTTTGATTATGTCTTCTGTTTCCTTAGTCAACCGAGGAGAGCGCTATTCTATAAGTCGACTAACAATATTTAGGGTACAATTATGATGTTATCGTAGTCTAAGCAATTCAAATAACTCCGCTGTTGACGTGCTTATCTTGAGATGATGACGTGAGATTAAACCAAGATTTCATATCATGAATAAATTGTGAACGAGACAAGGAAGTCTGCTCATGTTGATCCATGTATGTGTGGCCATATTATCTTATGAGCGAAGGCATTATATTTTACGTACTCGAAAATTTTTTCTTCAAGCATGCAAATTTAGAACAAGTATAACCGACCCTTTTATTTAATCAAATCATCTTTTGAGTTTGATGGTGAATTCCAAGTCATTCATTCGTAATTAAGAAAAAATAGTATGACATTTGTTTCCTCATTTCTGACTTTGAAACAATGAACCGCATTTGTTAAACTTACTTTTTTCTGCATTGCGGCACAATTCAGAATTGCTGTTCAGTTGGGCAGCATTGAATTTTGAAGCCTTCATACCTACTGCGTTTGTAAGTTTAATAAAGAATTATTTAATCTATTGTATCCATGATGGTGAAGAGCTCCAGAACTGCACAATGTTTCCTCACCTTAAACAATGTGCTAGTGCACGCCCTAGCGAGCTCAGACATTCCCGAACTGCATGCCAGCGTCTTTTAATTATTGCATTTGCCAGATACTGATACGATACCACCAGACTTCGGCACCTAATTCAACCCTTGATGAGCATCTGGCAACACCTACCGGTTCAGAGGTAGCTAGACTTGTCAAAAATTATTCACGATCGTATTCAATTCCTTATTATTCGGTGATGATCAATTGATTTAATTTAAATAAAATTACAGGAGACGTAATCAAAGGCCGAGTGCATCTGCTGCTGATTTTTTGTTAGTAGATAACTACTTCATAGTGGGATGAGTGGATTTCGTAGTATTCATTTATAAATCATTTATGTGAGCAGGCTGCTAATTATTATTATTCATATTGATGACCAAAAAGCGGGTTTTTATCATTCAAACCCCATATTATCACCTCTGGCAGTATTACTCCTAGTATTAATTGCCTTCAATTTGTCACCCCTCGTAACTAAGACCTAACCTTCACTGTTTATGTCAATATCCCAGCACTGCAATGGCAAGCAGGTGCTTTATGGTTCCTCATTATGATTCGCCAAGTGAGTAATCGGACCAAAAAATTGTATTTTGTGTGAGTTGAAGACTTGTGGTGGCAGAAGCGCCTACCAGCTAGATCTCTATCGGGAGGAGAATAAATAGATAGCATGTATGATATAAGTTTTTAAATTAACCAATGCGTCTTTAGAGCTTTTGTCATCAGGTGATTGACTTGACAATACCTGTTGCGTGGTAGGTTGGAATTACCTGCCGGTCTTCTATATCAGTTATGTAAGTCAGTGAAATAAACAATTTATGAACATTGGTTATTATTTCTACCTCATTCGTCTAAAATTTTCCAATCGCAAGTAATTTTATACCATTTATGACATTTAATTATTCATCTGAACAATTTAAAAAACAGACATTAAAAATAACGCTAGTGATGGCAGGGAAATGAGCGCAAATATATAGTTTCAATTTACTATACAATACAAAAATAATAAACATTCTGTCGATAAATAGTTACCACATAAATAAAGTACAAATTCTGGGGCCACACCTCTGCCGTACAAGGGAGGCTTACAGTTGTACAGCTCGGCAGGGGCGGCGGTTTGAACGTCTTGCACTGAATTGTCACCAACGAGCTATGGGATTTCTCTTGGGGTATTTAAATTCTGGAGTGAAAGTTTTCCTAGTTATATCCTCCTGTGTGTTCAGTTGAGAAATCTAATAGTATAAATGTACATATTCATTGTTTTACTTTCTGTTGAGAACTGTTATGATTATATCCTGGATTCTGACTTAACCCAGGAATTCAGTATTATCGATTATAAGATTTTGAGACTCGAGAATTCATTTTCGTTAGGGATTTCCATATTGTGCACATATGATCAATATCATGAAGAAGAAATTTAACAGTTTAATATTGCACTCATCGATCGATATGGAGATTAATAGAAGGAGGCAGTGACAAATGCAGAAATTTTTCCTTCCACGCATTCGTGCCCAAACTTCAGTTAAGTGAAGAATTTTAAAAGTTTTCTATCACTGCAAAAATATTTTTTTTCTAAACCATATATCTTAAATAATTTTCGAGTAATAGGAGCTCGATTTAGGCATTCGGTGGTTTTCAATACATCCCTAACATAATTTCCGTTGCAGCATTTCTATTTGATGTTACTTTTTTGAGGCTCCGATGGTCGGGAGCCTTGCACCGAGTCTAGAGATTTGTACAATTGATGGACTGAGTTGATTAAAACTTTGTGAATTTCTGGGGACGTTGTCGTACTGGAAAAGTGGTGAGAATTTGCAACTATGAGACTCGGCTGCAGACGGTATCCCGTAATTTGAATACTATCTTTCTTTGACTGCGATTTTTCAGCTTGAACCTCCCCTGCACTTGCTGAAAGCGGCTTGAGTGGTAGAGCAGGGAGCAGATTCAAGGTTGCCGGTATGATACTAGCTTGGAAATTTCTTTCTAAGATACTTTCTGGATGAGATCGACCACCATTTGCAGGAGGTGAAATTTCAGGAGATTTTAGATACTCTCTTTCTTGGCGATTGTTACTCGAAAATGCGTGTTGGACGTCAAGAAGTGACGATGGCCGAAGAGTTCCAAAGCCCATTTTATCATTAGAAGAGTATTTGGGATCATGTCGGGGGTCTTCGCGGTGCATTTTGAACTTTAGTTCATCATGGGATGGATGTTGAGGATCACTCACGAGGCCTTCGTAACGTGTTCTTAGCCCCACTTCTTGATTCACGTTCGGCTCTCGATGCGGTGAAGGATGGATGATCGGCAGTAATAGTTCCTCATATCCTGACGGTAGAACGTATCTTGGGAAGCCAAGATATTTTGCGGACTCTGGCACAGAAGCCCTGTATCTTCGCGGGTCCGGCGTCGCGTAATGGTAACGCTTGTCGAGTTCGTGCGCTTCTTCTGCTATTTTATGCTTCTCATCCAAGGTGATACCAGAAGAATCTTGAGGTCGATGTCGTCGAGTATTCATCAAATTAAATGATCGACCATCCTGTTTTCGATCAAGTTTCCTTCTGTTCTGAGAGTTGAAAATCAAACGCTTCAAAATATCTAAATCTGCTGCAGGAAGGCTTTCGCCTTCAGACTTTTTGCTTACTCCTAAAACATCCGACATTTTCGTTTCTGACTCAGTTGTTGATTCATGCGCTTCTGCGTGCATGGGCTCCTTGGTGAATTTTTTGCTATTCATTACAGGCGATGAAACTGAGTCTCCGACGTTCAGAAGGTCTTTCTTACTCGCAAACGAAGTATTCTCTTGCTTCTCTTTCAAGTCACGAGTTTCGTTGACTGCTGACAGAGTTGACCGACCAACTCTGTAAATCATCGCAGGGCTGCTGATCCGACTGTTCACTGGGACAGATGACGAGGGATATGATGCAGCAGATGGAATCGCAGAGGAGGCTTGGGATGAAAGATGTCCTTTTGAATGCGAGTCTTTGAAAGAGGATTCGAGCACGTCTTGAAAATTTTCAGTCATTCCTACGTCGTTGCGCCGGTCGTAGGTAACCGGCGTGTGATCGGTGTGGAGAACAGGTTGTAGGCTTGGTGCGTAAATCGACTGAAATTCCTTTAGAAAGTTGTGATGATGGTGTGGATGTTCATAAATGTGATAGTGAATGTGTTGTTCCTTTTGTGGTATTTTATGGTGATAGTTGATGCCATAGTTTATTGGGAAATGCGAGTAATGTGGATGATGGTGCAGCGAGAGTGGAGGATAAAAGGGTAAAAATCCTTTTTTATCGACATCTTTGACCTTGTCCGGCACGATGACCAGATCTTTACCAATATCGATAAATAACT